CAATCGTATCTACGAGTTGGTTGTTGGCGGAAACATCATCTTCGTATCAGGTTCGCTCCAGCGACCGGAGAAAGCATTGGTCGATCTCATGACCCCTGGAGTGGCCCAAAAGAGTACCTGGACATTTGTTTCGGGTATTTTTACCATCGGTCTTGCATGTCGTCAGCTACACCGAGAAACAGCTCTCACCCAGTACACAAAGAACGTCTTCCACTTCGACGACATGCAATCTGGTCGAGCTTTCGTGAACGGTCTCACTAGTACACAGCGAGCGCTACTCACGTCTATATCCGTCAACGTCGTGGATTACTTCAGCGCAGATCCCTCATGGGACCTTATGTTAAGTATGTGGAGCTCCGTGGTAGACACCGACATCGACATGTTCTTGCCCGAGCTAGAGATTGTCTATATCAGTGCACAGGACCGGACAGGCTCTTTTCGGGCGAATGAGGAAGAGGTACTTCACACAGTTGGGCGAAAGCTGAAGATCGGTACATCACGCAAGGAAGGTGTCTCGCTTATGATCCTTGATGTGTTCCGAGGAATGGAGAACAAAGACCAAGCAAAGACGATCAAACTGAGTTGGAACGGTGAGGCGTTCGTCTGATTGGTGTTTCTCTTCTGGTCCGACACGGCGAGATCCAGTCGCTGCAGATAGGGTATGCATTACAGATGGTCATCGGTTCTTCTCCTACATATGAAGTGCCCTCGAGATAGCCAGGCTGACAATGGGATAACTCATCATTCGATCATGAGAACCATGCTTGATAATCTGTTCTCTGATGATCCCACGCTTCCCTTTCCATTCCACTTCCCATCCACCAGCACCTAGAGGCGTCTTCTCCTTCGACTTGACCTTCTCTAGCTCTTCGAAGGTAATGGGATAGGATGTATCAAACATTGCGTTAACAGCGTGCCAGAAGAGGACATCTGAGTGACTCCATGGGATATCGTAGTCATCTTCGGCGTGTATTAACGTGATGTCATAGTTTCGCTGCTTGCCGTTGACCTTGATACTGTCCAGCCGGTGAATAAGTGCTGCAAGTTTCTCCTTGGATGGAAATTTGGTGATGATAAATCGGTTCAGCAGGTTCATAAGCGGTGGAAATATTGCGAGAGGGGAGAGCAGCGGGAGGGTGCGAGCAACCTTGTACGTCCTTGTAAGCGACTCAACATCGGCGAATGGGGCGACTAAGACGACTCCCGCTAGAACAACAGGAGTAGGCTGTGAAGCCAAGTGATGAGTGAGCGATAACGCTACGGCAGTACCCATGGATTGGGCAAAGACCACAATCCTCTCTGGTGGTATACCCGCAGTATCCGTTACGAACTTGAGCAAGGTAAGCGCATCAGTAAGAAGACCCGATTCCGAAGGCCACCCAGTACTGGTACCGAAGCCACGATAGTCGATAGCCAGGACATGGACGTTGGTCGATGTCGCGCTCATCGCCCTGTAACTTTGGGGCCGCCACCCAGATCCCAGTGTGCCTGCTGCACCATGCAGATAGATGACTACTTGCGCAGTGGGATCTTTCAGCAAGTGGAAGGAGATTCGGTCTTCGACTTTCTCGCAGAGTCCGACTGGCTCCTCACGGAGTTGGGGTTGATGTTGGCGGTATGTCTCCAGTGGCAGAACGTGCCAAGCATGTAGAGTCTCACCATCTGGCGTCTTGAGATGGAAGGGTGTGACTTGGTTGCGCAGAAAGCCCCATTGCTCGGGTACGTTGATATCCTGATTCCAGGTTCGGGTTACTCGGTGCAGGAAGATGACGTGGTCCTGTAGAGTCGGGATCGTGAGTAGCAAGACGAAGCCGAGATAGAACCCGATGAGGCCAATGAAAATTGAGAGAAGAAGCGTAAGCATGCTGGTGGCTATATACCTGGCCTATCTCAAGCTTGAATAGTCCAGTCGCGACCAGGACGATTTGAGATTTACAGTAGCGCTAACCGATGTGGGGTAAGTGGAGCATGACGAAGAACGCCACATATTTGTGTACGGTTCTCCATGTGATATACAATTCTCGGATGCTAGAAAGTTCACAATGTTGGTGTTGAGGACGCGTTGCAATAACGCGTAATTGTCGTGATTTAGGGGATGACCAATCGGGCCTAGCTCAGGGTCGTTGCATGTGCCGAGGTTCAGGCCAAGCACAAACCCCCAAACGCGTCAAATCCACACTCCTTCCTCCATCCCACTCCAAGATACGTTGAAAATGGAAGCGCCATACTATGCTCTGATCGCGACAGCTTTCTGATACCTGCCATGCTATCTAACTCATGCCAAGACTGATATAAGATAAGCGGCATGTGTGGACAAACTCTCACGGACGCGCTGCGAATGGCTGGTATGGCAGTATCACTTCAGACATCGCTAACGACCTCGCAGCTCCGGCGCGTAATCCCATCCAAGCACAATCGTCTACGATATCAGTTTGACTCTAGACTCGGTCCACGCAACGCTAGCACATCCAATCATATCGCACACGGCCTGTAGGCTGACTTCCAGGAAGAGGAAGGCACCACTGATGGCGACTCTGGCGACTGGACCGATCCCGAAACCGGTAGCAGCGTAGAAGATGATGACAGCATATGCGAAAATGTTTCCTAATTCGTCATGGGCCCTGGTAATACGGTGAATCAGGAAGTTCGACATTGAAGGAAGATATATCTTCGGTGCTTATACAGTATGCACGGTCGCAGCACGCATGTATCAAGCTTTTACGGGAACCGATATGCGTCCCTTACCGATGAGGATGTTATGCGCATGCTCAAGCCGAGAGCGTGGAACGTCATTTGAGCTGACCTCCCTACTTTGCTGCTTTTATTCTCGCAGTCTACGAATGTCCTCACTATTCACTACTCTTTACGTAGCTGAATCGGCCCTCAAACTAATTGAGTATATCTAATATGGATGAGTTGCGAGGGAAAATGTGTGAGCAGCCACATGATCGGTGACCGTATTCCAAAAAAAGACTAGGCTGATGGTTGCTGACCACACCTGTGGAAGTGGCTTTACTATGTCGCTTTGAGTGTATATATGGACATTTGCATCGGCCAGCGATGGAAGGTGCGATTTCCAACCCCAAGTTCGAGATATAGCCACGGTCGACATGGGCAACTCTGCACCGAACATGCAGCTGCCAGACGCAGCGACCATCCTCCAGTCCGTTAACGCTACGATAGATCATACAGCCTCTCTGTTCCCTACTTCTGGATATCAAGTCTTCCAGTCCGTACTTCGCACCCTCCTCATACTTCTGTTTCTCTTTGTTACATACCATTGCTTTCACTATTTCACATGCGAACTTCCGCCGTTTGGCTCCGGTCTCAAAGCTCTCCCGGGCCCGCGCTCAACACTCCCTTACTTAGGTCGCGTTCACGATGTCGACCGCATGCAGGCTTGGACCTCAATGCACAAGTTCAGCAAGCAGTATGGCGGGCTGTTCGCATGTACACTTGGGGGCGAAACGCACATCTGGGTCGCAAGAGAAGATGTTGCGCAAGACTTGATGGTCAAGAATGCTGAGCTGAGTTCGGCGAGGGCAGATATTGGGTCTTTCCCAGGGGTGACACAGGACTTTTTGTACTTGCCTCTGCTCGGGTACACAGGTATGTCTGCCATTACCAAGACTCTGATATGAGTTTGTCACTGACGTCCGACTTACAGATCACTTCCACCGTCAAAAACGATTCGCAAACGCAATGATGACCCGCGCAGCTAAGAACCAATACTACGGTCACATCCAGCTTGAGATGAAGCGCTTCATGCACGAGCTCTCCCGAAAGCCAGAAGACTTCTTCACTCTCACCCATCTCTTCTGCGCTAGAATCAGCTCTCGCCTCGCGTATGGCACCGCCGATCGTTCAATAGAGCACATGATCAACGCCGGCGCCTTCATCTCCCAACTTGGCCCTTCTGGGCCCATACCTAATCTCATGCCGTTCCTAAGATACTTCCCTGAGTGGATGGCGCCGGGTCAGCGCGGAGTGCGAGAACGTCGAGAAAAGGAAGCAGCGCTGTGGAAGGACGCATTCGATCTGGCAAAAGCATCCAAAGATAAGGCAATTTACACCACCGCAAGCTTGGCTACCAAAGCTATTGGCTCCGATACCGACCTTCTCTTCGCTGACGAGGAGGAGGCCAAGGCTGCAGTTGGCATGCTCTGCACTGTCGCGATCTATACTATTGGCGGACCGGCGACGCTATTCGTCATGGCTATGATTTTGCATCCGGAATGGCAAGACAAAGTGCGTCAGCAGATTGATAAGGTAGTTGGAAAGGATGAGATGGTGGACTTTAAGCATAGTCCGCAGTTGCCAATTTTGAGGGCAGCTATCAAGGAATGTGTGAGATGGAAGAGTACTGTTCCACTCGGTAAGTTCCTTCTTTCCTCTTTATCCTAGATTCCGATCTGTCCCAAAATCCATACAGCATGAAGCTGACCAGTCATCAGGCGTCCCTCGCCTACTCTCGAAGAACTACACCCACTCCGGCTACCACTTCCCCCGCGGCGCCGTCGTCCACGTCCTCGACATCGCCATGTCTCAAAACCCCACCACCTACTCCTCTTCCCCTCCCTCCGTCTACGACCCCTCCCGCTGGCTCGACCCTTCGTCCCCCAATTTTAAGTCTCCACTGACCGAACACCCACGCTTGAAGGGCCATCATATCTTTGGGAGGGGCAAGAGAGTGTGTCCCGGCCAAGACCTTGCGGAAGCGGAGTTATTGGTCTTTTGTGGGAATTTGGTCAAGAATTTCGAGCTTGGGAAGAAAGAAGGAATAGATATTGGGCCGGACCAATGGACACCACATGTCATCGGGGGACCGTTGCCGTTCCCCTGCGAGATCAAGGCGAGAGATGGTGAGAGGGCAGGAGCGGTTGGGAAGTGGTGGGAAGATGTCAAAGGGCAGATGGAGGGGTGAAGAGGTTTTTGGTGTTGGAAGCGGATACGCGTGCTGTTCTTTCGATATACCATACAATCTTACCATACCCCATGATTCAACCAGTGACAATGCCCCACGTTAACCAAGTGTCAATCGTCTTCTTTCTCTCCAGCAGCGTCTCCTCTTCGCTCTCATGGTCGCATGCTGCAACTCCTCTCCTCTCCTTTGATTCTGCTGTCTCCCTTAGTAGGGTGCTGCCACCATCACTCGAAAGCTCATATGAACGAAACTCCGCGTTCGACCATCCGGTGGCTAGTGATAGATGATCAGCAATCGTCAAAATGATGCAGCGATCCAGAGACTGCAAACCTTGTGCGCTCAACGAGCCCTTCCAGTCATCGGTCAGGAAGTGTAGGAAGCAGCCATGCGAGACCACAACAATGTTGTTCTCCGGTCTGTCTCGAAGCCACTGCCGAGCGCTTTCGGCTCTAACGAGAAGTGAAGCACTCGTGAGTGATGCGTCAGTCTGCCATACTTGGTAAGCCTACCCAGTACTGATACTTTTTGGAATGCTGGGTCAAGATTTGATGGTCCATCTGCGTACTTTCACTTGCCAGCCCTCTTCTACGAGGCCGAGATCCGCTACGGTGTTCTCAAACTCTTTCTGAAGAACTTTGACATCGCTGCCAGTGTCGCAAGGCAGATTGCTCGCTTCTTGCAACGAGGGTAAGGCGAGGACCTGGACGCCCCGGGCCACTTCTGGCTCGAATCCTAATAACGCGGTGTGCATTGTTCGTCGTAGCGGTGAGGTGACCACGAGATCAACTTCGGCGTGGTACGCAAACGTTGCTGCAAGTTCGTGACATTGGCGCTCGCCATACGGTGTGAGCGATGGATCTGGAACGTTGTGGTTGCTGTAGGACAGATTGTGGACACCTTGCGCGTGCCTGACACAATAGATAATACGCGCCACTATGCGCAGGACAGTCGAATCAGTTTTTGCGCAATGTTGTTTTAATGGCGCGCACTCACTCGCACACCAAAACTGCGTGGTAGCAGAATTAACGAGACGGACTGAGCGGAAGATGCCCTGGTGGTGCGCAGCTGCCTGATCGGTGGGCGAGTGTGCAGCGGGGCTGTGCCGTCCACCTCTTAATATCTCAGCCGCACTGCGCGCCTACTTAAGCACTTTCCTTTATCTCGAGTCCACCTGAGAATACTGCCTTTATATCTTGGTGCGAATAGCTGTGCAAATGGAGGTTTCTGAGCCCCCTGCCAAACGTCGCAAAATCACACCGAGTGCAGGTCACAGGCCAGTAACCAGAGCCAGCCTTGCACGCGCCCAACGAGATCTACGCGCCTACGCTTATCGAGCCCTCAAGCAAAAAGACGAGATACGCATCTTCAAAGTCGAGAAGATTGGGCCGAATAAGTGGCAGTACGGCATCGAACATACAACATTGCCAAATGCACCACCCTTCGAAACCGTTTCGTATGTCTGGGGTCCGGATACGCGCCAAAACATCATACGTTTGCGGGCTGGCCGGACGATACGCGTCAACGACAACCTCGCCAAAGCCTTGCGTTACCTCTCGGCGGAATGCATGACTGGCTATCTATGGATCGATCAGATCAACATCAATCAGTCTAGCACGCACGAGCGCAACCATCAGGTCAAAATGATGGGTGATATCTACAAGAAGGGTGAAAGAGTCATAGCTTGGCTGGGTATGGGACTAGAACCAAGCCAGGAAGTACTCGCTCTCATTGAGGTAGCGCAATCCTCGCTTGAACTGCGAGAGAGTTCTTCCCTTATCAAAGAAAAGGTTGAAAGTGAACTTTCCAAGTTGTGCCTCAAAGACTTCTTGACAGTTCTTCGACTTTTCGAAAGCGAGTGGTTTTCCCGCGCATGGGTTTTTCAGGAGATTGTGCTGTCAAAGCACGCGACTTTCCTGTTTGGACATCTTGTCGTGCCGTTTTTAGCACTTGTGTGGATATCCAGAATATCTGCTACCTCTCGGATACTTACCGGTACACACTATTGTCAGATCAAGTCTTTTGACCCGATCAAGGATTCAACTCAACCAATACCCAACCTTGAAATGCTGTCGACGCATAGCTACCGCATCCTGTCCGTAATGCATCACAGCTGGCATGCTGTATCTAATCGTCTTCCCGATTCAGATATGCCTTTCACCTGGAAGCTTTCGAGACTCAGCCCAATTCTGCAGACAACAGACATGAAAGACTCTGTGTACGCATTCCTCGGTTTACAGAGACCAGTCTGGCATAACCCACACTGCCTCATTCAGGCCGATTACAATTTGTCTTATGAGAAGACCCTCATCAACGCTGCGCTAACCATCATTCGGAGCACGCATTCCTTGGATATCTTATCCTATTGCAAACGAGAGAGTGAATTGTCTCAATCCAAACGTTTGCCATCTTGGGTTCCCGAATGGAAAGCACCGATCTCAGCACCACTTCTTGTGCGGGATGAGTCTTCAGTATACTGTTCCTCACTATTCTCCCATCAACCACAAGATTCTGATCAGTTACACGTGAGAGGCCTGTGTCTTGATACCATAAGCACATGTTTTGCGCCCGAACATCGGTTTCGGGCCACTACTTGGTTTGAGGAAAATCTCGAAGAATACCTTGCGCTCGATGAACGGAGGGATCTTGTACAGAGATACACAATTTGCCCCCGTGAGCGTCTTTTGGACGTGCTCTTGACTCGATGCTACCGCCCTGATATTGATTTCAAGGACTACCATGGCACTTCGAACGACTACAGCACTGTGGAACTCTTGAAAGAATACGACGCATATAGAGACACTCATGACGAGACACAGGAGGTGAAAGAGAGCAAGAATATGTGTGCATTACGTTATCTTACATATTCTCTTGATAACAGGCAGCTCTTCTTGACGAAAGGTGGGCACTTAGGCCACGTTCAAGAACCATCTGAAGGCGACATGATATGTACTCTCAAAGGATTCCGACATCTTATCGTATTAAGACCTAGTGGAAATAACCGTTTCACTGTGGTGGGAACTTGTCATGTAGAAGATAAACTTGAGGAAATGTGTAAACTGATCATGTCAAACACCGGTTACTACGATATGTCATTTTGGGAAAAGCATGAGGGGGAAGAGTACATCTTAGTGTAATGCTGTAAGTTAAGACCAACTATGGCCAGGTTCAATACACCTCATATTTCTGCGAATATACCATCACGCCGCACTGCATCATTTTGATGGGTAAACACGGAAACGTACCCTCCAAAAACCTCATTTCAGTAAAAGACTGATCACCAAAATGCCTACTTTAACGTTGTGCCATCTAATTGGCATAATCTCATCTCATGATAGGCTGTGAACCTGTTTAACTTTCCCTTTTACGGAATGCGAAGGGGTTTCACCGCACGAGCTAACAAAGGGTTCCAAGTTATCAAGTCTATTACTTTATAAATATTACATTAATCCCAGTCCACCCATTTCGTGGAATCTATCATTCCCATCTCATCAATCGTACGTCAAAACCATCTAGTAGTAAGTGTAAACAGGCGAGGCAGGAAGAGTACCAAAGTCACCGGAGCCGAAAGGGCTGCTGGGCGAAACCTTTCCGCCATTGACATCAGAAACACCGAACCAAGCAAGCTCACTGCACTTGCTGACGGTGATAACAGCGAACGCAGGTGCGGGCTGCGCAGCGTATCCCCAAGAGACGGTCAAGTCAGTACCGCATGACTGGTTGGACCAGCTCTCGGTGGCAGCGTTGGAACCCGGCATGCGGACAACAGTGCAGTGCTCAGTCTTGCCATCCGCGGTGAAGTCGAAGTTGTAGTCGCAACCCGAGTTTCCGTCGATGCAGTAACGGCTCAGGTTCGAGACGGTCCATGTCTTGCCCTCAACGGGCTTGGGGCTGGAGTTTGGTGTTCCGGTTACCGCAGGGCAAGGGGCAGCAGTTGGTGTAGGGACAGCGGCTGGCTGAGATCCAGCAGATGGCGTAGGGCATGAGCCTGGGTGGGCAGGGTTGCAGCCTCCGGGAATGCCAGAGATGGATGAGAAAGTGGCAGCCGGAGCGGACGTTGGTGTAGGGCACGATCCGGGGTGAGCTGGGTTGCAGCCACCGGGGATGCCGGAGATAGATGAGAAGGCCGCCGCTGAAGTGGCTGTTGAGGTCGTCTTTGGGAGGAGGGCGATTTGGGATGAGCACCATTCGCGGATGCGCGCGGCGTCCTCACCGTAGCAAGCGGTCCGGTCGCATGAGCAGATGACTTCAGCAGTTCCTGCGGCGACGCACGAGTCGTAGGCGATTGTGCATTTGTCCTCGCGCATGCGGAGAGTGGGAGATGCTGATGCAGCGGATGCTAAGATCAACGCGATGGCGGCAGATTTGGCGAGCATGTTGGCGAGAATGTCTTTTGGGTCTTGAGTGAAGTGGAAATGTATAGTGTGTGTTGAGGAGATGCTGGTAGTTGTTGTTGGCTGTTGATGGATGATGAGGATGCAAACAACTGGAGATGCGATGGCTGGACTATATATTCTTCAAGTACATGGCCACCACGATGTCATCCTAACTGTCGGTAGTAATAGAGTGTGATCGGATATACGGAGGAGGAACAGCTGATCACGTCCTTGCTTAGCCCTGGTGCCATGTTGTGGCTCTCGTGAGGCTCCCGGAGAGGCGAGAGACGCCTCATTGGCTCGCGAGCGGGACTTCTACGACGTTCGGCTCTTGTTGCGCCGCAATACGAGGCTCAGTCGCATGATATGACGATATTGCGCTTAACACGAGCGACGTTTCCTGGTTCCAGGGTCGTTTTCGATAATTCGGATGCATCCCGGCGAGGCTTGATGGGCAGCTAACGACTAGTCGCTCCATTATTAGCAGCCAACTTTGGAATAGCACCTGTCAATCGAGCTTGACGAAGCTTGAAAGGTGATCGCTTCGGCTGTCATCCGAGCAGCGGTGACAAAATAGGACCAAATTGCAAGGTAAACCTATATTTCATGTCACTTTTGGGATGCACGTACTGCCTACTCGAGTAGTCCCATATGCCGAATACGATGAGGCCGGAAGATTTGTGAGTTTGTGACGTGATTTTCGGCTAGCCGATCGTCTCCGTGAAAACAAATCCCCGCGTCCGGACACTCCGCTTCCGACCATCACAAACAGCGCTTCGTTGTTGTCGCATTCCTCGGTGGCCGCGATTTGGAACGTGCTGGAGGGCGAGGCTGAGCTGGCACAGTCGGTGTGTGCTAGTAGTAGTTCAGATCCTAGTCGCCAGAGGCAAGTTCTGCTAAAGCTTTGCGCGACAATGGCATCGAGCCTCGTGCCCTTTCATCTTTGGTTGACATCTCATCGCAACTTCTCGTCTCTGTCTTTCCTGCTATAGTGGATGAACTCAAAGTTCGTGAAACGGGCTGCGAGCAAACCGTCGGCAACATGGAATTCAAAGCATGTATTGTAGACAAGGCGTGATATTTTAACAAGGAGTCGTTCCGTTTCGCAACGACGTGATATGGTGAAAAACATCGAGAGCTCCTGCCGGACAGCCTCACACTCAGGGCAGTCGCGCTATGTCGCATCGATACTGGCGTCACTCTTAGCGCAACGCCATGCCGCTCCCGTCACCCGCAATCGTCATCACCAAGACAAAGGGATGACCATAGACGGCAAACAACGCGCTGCCAACCGCCACAGAAACTCGAGATAGACCCACCATTATATGCAAAGTCATACAGAATGGCTACCGCTGCTCCCGAATCCGCCGACGTGACT